TACTAAACATTTACTAAGTACTGAAGAACGGAACCAACGCACCAACAATACTGAAAAAAATCTGAAAATCACATATCCAGTATTCATTAAGTTACATTTGGTCATTGACAGAAAAGATCGAATCTAACTTCCTTGCATTTGAAATGATTCTTTTTTTTTTCATTACTTAAGATTATTTGGCATTTGTTAAATACATGTAAATATACAAAATCCTTGTAGTAGAACATATAAAGTCGCAATAAACTAGAAGAAACATTTCCTTTTGAATAGTCTAGCTAGGAGACTTGGTTGTTCTCTTTTACAGAGCCGTGTTCGTGTTCGGGAAACTTCTATATAACTATGTACCACAGAGTCGGGTACAATTCACAACCAACTGAAAATCCCAGATATGATTATTTACAAATTTATTGGAAATAAAATTTGCAATGGGCTACATTTTCAAGATATTAAGAAACGAGCAAAATTAAAGCGTATACGTCTTTAACTCTTTTTCCAAATATAAACTTTTATATGCATCGAAGTGCAACTTAACAGCTAAAGTACTGAAAGCTAAAAGTGATTTTAACAGTTTACAAATTCAATTAATATTAATAATACCAAAACTTTTCCTTGATAACGAAGAAGTTAGAAGGTGCCCGATTGTAATTAAAATATAATTTTTGACTGCAGGTTAGCGCTGTATTATAGTTATACAAGATAAATAACAGCTGCTTTTATATTTTAGTCATGCAAGATACATTGAGTTCACATTGGATTAAACTTTATTGGATAGTGTCACCTGTGAATCTAAACATGGTGTAAGTATCTAATCAGTCTCAAATAAAGAAATCTATAAATAATTTATGCATTTAGTTATCTGCTGATATTGTAAATTTTAATTGCCACTGTACACTACTGTAAGATTTGTTTAGATATTCGCATGTTATATTCAGTTTGTTCATTGTTTTATGTAGGTTAAGTTCGAGATGTCGATGTTCCTGATTTTGTTTCAAGAACCATCGTATGAAGTGTTATGAAGATAAACCGATTTTAATTTGGATTCAATTGCGGCAAACTTTTGAGGCGCAAGAAAGCGAGAAGGACACTTTATCGCTGTGAGTCGAGTTGCTTGAAAGCTGAATATAGTTGACAATAAATCGATTTGGCTGGGACAGGGCATGGGGCACGTTGACAATGGTCTCCATTCACGTAAGCCAGGAAAGCAGAAGGTTAACTCATTCTTAAATGTTATCAAAACAAGAAGAACCGTGTTCGCTCGCGAGGTTATCAAGTGTGGATGAATGAGTGAGTGAGATCAACTCGGAGTATAATATAATTTCATAAAATGACGAGAAGATTACTGACTATACGGATAATAAAATCAAAAATAATTTCTTCTATTGTGACTATATTTTCGTGACTACTTCAACTTGGAAAGTAATGCATTTGGAAAAATACCAGTATCTGAAGCTACAGACATGAGTATTTTAGTCAATAATTTGATTTCGAACAAAACATAACGTTAATATATAATTGCTTTTCAATGTGAATAAGAAGATTCTTTAAACAGGGTTATTGTCGAAAATATCGTACGTCTCAAAAACTTACGTATGTCATTATTCTTCTCCAAATCTTTGTAGTCAGAATCTCCTCTTCCATCAATGAATTGAAACATCATCATACAATCTACATTTTACGTTGGTCACCATACATAGATAGACGAGCAGGGAATCGCCTGTAATCGGTATTTATCTGCAATCAAATTATAAGTCATTAAAACAGTGTTTATATTCATTATGACGTCATATTGACCGGCCTGGTAAAAGGACATAATGATGAAAATTTAAATACGAAAAAAGTACAACGATTAACCTACGTTTACATTTTTCACAGCTGAAGATGAACTTGAACATGTAAATAAATCAGTCACTGAACCATTGGGTTGAAAAAATGGCACGAAGAATGTCAATAACAGCAATCGCGATTTATAGTGATAGCTATATTTATGTGATATATAAACGACTATAACACTGAGACTTCTGATGTGAATTTGCTCAAAGTCACGAAAACTCAAGTGAAGCTACCGACGACTACAAGAGATACTACACTATTGTATAGAGAATAATTGCGATGTTAGTAAACTGACGCGAGGCTTGATTCGTGAAATAACTATGATGTATTGAATTCCGAATAGCTGAATCTCGTGGAAAAAAATCTCGAAGCATAGTATTTTTTGTCTGGTTTTCGCCGACTGTATACGGATGAGAATTCATAGTAAACCGAACTTGACGGCTAAAATTGTTAGACTTCCCAATGCATAACGCGAACTTCATGGTTGTGAGAATTTCTGTTTACTTATTGTCACCATCCAGAATTAACACTGAAGATAAGAAGAATAAGCTTTCAGGTAGATCGACTTGAGACAAGAGTTAAAGGAAAATAAAAAAAACTTTAGAGTAAAGGTGTATGTCGTATATGCGATAATATCTAAAAATTTCTGGCAAGCAGGTTGAAACATTAGAAATACCGTATGAAGAAAATACAGCAAAATGCTAAATGACTATCGTGGATAACTTTTTCATTTCAACCTGTTTGTCACCAATGATATTATGTACCGGCCCTTCATTTACTGAATTATATCTGAGATATTACTAAACATTTACTGAGTAACTGAAGAACGGACCAACGCGCAAAAATCACATCTGAAAATCACATAGCCAGTATTCATTAAGTTACCGTTAGGTCATTGACAGAAATAGACCGAATCTAACTTCCTTGCATTTGAAATGATTCATTTTTATCTTTCAATACTTGAGTCATTTGGCATTCGTTAAATATATATACATATACAAAATCCTTGTAGTAGAACATATAAAGTCGCAATAAACTAGAAGCAAACATTCCCTTTTGAATAGTCTAGCTAGGAGAATTGGTTGTTTTCTTTACAGAACCGTGTTCGTGTTCGAGATACCACTATATATAACATTGCAGAGTCGGGAACAATTCACGACCAACTGAAAATCCCAGATATGATCAGTTAAAACGTTATTGGAAATAAAATTTTCAATGAACTACATTTTTCAAGATATTGAGAAACGAGCAAAATTAAGGCGTATACGTCTCTAACTCTTTTTCTAAATACAAACTTTAATATGCATTGGAAGTGCAACTGAACAGCTAAAAGTACTGAAAACTAAAAGTGATTTTTTATAACAATTTACAAATTCAATTAATATTAATAATACCAAAACTTGTCCTTGATGACAAAGAACAAAATTGCAATGAACTATAAACCAAACGAGCCTATTCCATTTTTGATTGCGACATAATTGCTTTCTGTACAGTAAATCGTTAGAGTTGTTACTACTATACAATATTATTAAGTTTGGAACCATTAACGACTCAAATAGTATTTTATGTTTGCAATAGTTTAGACCGCTTCATAACTTCAGATATGATGAGATGCACTATCAACGGAAGAAAGTTTATCAATGAACTACGAATCAAACGTTTTTCAATTTTTATACGTCTAAAATAAACATATATAACTAAAATTGGCATTCGATATGCATACATGCAAGTCATGCCAGTCATGGACATGTATTCCGTGATTCTAAAAACTATATATTCCTGTTGTTGCTAGGAACGAAATAAAAGTTTACTTCATTAGCGTTTCAATAGTTACAAACCCGCCTGAAATAAATACCAAACTCACATTTCACCGGAATTACCCTATTGACCATAGTCCATAGTATATCATACTTTGGGTTCCTCCGCAGGTAATCCAGAGTGAATAAATGAGTGCGTGAACTCAAGTTGGGGTGAAATAATTTTTTTAAATGACGATAAGATTACCGACTAGACGAAAATTAAAATCAAATCAATTTCTCGTGTTGTGACGAGATTTCGGGACCACTTCAAACTTGCGAAATACAACATTTTGAAAAATATCAGATTCTACAAGCTATAGAGTGATTTTATTCAATAATTTGATTTTGAGCAAAACATTACGTTGATATGTGAATCAGAAGGTTCCTCAACAGCGTTTTATCCGAAAAAAAATATTACACCTCAAAAACTTACGCCTCTCATTAATCCTCTCTAAATCTTTGTAGTCAGAATCTCCTCTTCTATCAATGAATTGAAACACCTTTATACGATTCTACACTCCACATTGGTCAGCAAACGGCAAGTATTCGGCGGTATCGTTTTTTTTTCAACAATCAAATTATAACTCCATACATATGTTTCTATTCATTTTGACGTCATACTGAACCGATGGCCAGCCTGGTGAATAAAGAAGGATAAAATGATTACATAAGTTTAAATATCAAAAAAGTACAAACGTTTAGGACCTTTGGAATGTCAAAGAAAGCAAATGCGACTTAGTAAGTGATATATCTGATTCTAACAATATTACACGACCATACAACTGACTTGATTTTATAGGAAAATTTGCTCAAAGCAAAGTCACGCAAACTTACTCAAATAATCTTTGATCACAATTTTGTTTACTTCATTAGCGTTTCAATAGTTATAAAATAGCCTAAATACAACAGCAAACTCACATTTCACTGAAACAATAATATTATCTTTTGCTCTTCTGTGAATCTGGTTTGTCTTCTCCTCTTTTCGAAAAGAATTTGTGTATATTTCTCAAATGCTCCACAGTTTATCCTGTTTGATTTGGTTTTGTGATCTAAATAGTTTAATGAAAGTCGGTCTTTTGCGCAAATCGCTGATTCCCTGAAATAAAAATAAAGCATTTACTGCATTGTGTTAACTAATTATTGCGTCATGAGCAACCTATTTCTAAAATTTCTATGTGGACAAAGGAAACATAAAAGGCTTAAGCTGAAGCTCACTCGTATTTTCTGAATGTATGTAAGATTAAAGATTCTCACGCTCGAGATATACCTGCAACAAGACCGAATAACTCATAATATTTAATTAAGATAAATATCTTGACTGAAACTTTCTCGAGGTGTTGTAAAGAATTTCTACAGAATTTACATATGTAAAACAATTTATGTAGGAATTCTATTATACAGATCTTTCAAAAAAGATTGTAATATAAGAGAAATTCTACCTCGCGCAGTTTCGACTACCACAGACTTCAGCCCACTACACGGCAAGAGTTTCAACTGCATTTAAACACCTTTATACAATTCTACATTCTACACTTGTCAGCAAACGTAGATAGACAAACAGTCAATTTAAATTCATTAAAAAATAGTGTTTATATTCATTATGACGTCATACTAAATTGCCTGGGAAACAAAGAAGGATGAAATAAAGATGCAATATTAAATACCAAAAGGTACCAACGTTTAGGATCCACGCTATTGGCATTTTCCACAGCTGAGGATAACTTACAACATGCATAAATAATTTTAGTCACTGAAACATTGGGTTGAAAAAAAATTGGCACAAACAATGTTAATGACAGCAATTGCGATTTAGTAAGTGATAGCCTATAATTATTGCTGGCAATATAACACGACCATAACACTGACACGTTTTCATTGTAAATTTGCTCAAAGCCAAGTCACGCGAACTTACTCAAAAGATCTTTGATCTCAATCTTGTTTACTTCATTAGCGTTTCAATAGTTACAAAATAGCCTAAATACAACAGCAAACTCACATTTTACTGAAATAGTCTTATTATCTTTTTCTCTTCTCTGAATCTGGTTTGTCTTCTCCTCTTTTCTAAAAGAATTTTTGTATATTTCTCTAATGCTCCACAGTTTAATGAAAGTCGGTCTTTTGCTCGTATCGCTGACTCTCTGGAATAAAAATAAAGCATGTACTGCATTGTTTTAACTAATTATTGTTCATGAAAAACCTATTTCTAACATTTCAATGTGGAGAAATGAAACATAAAGGGCTTAAGCTTAAGCGCACTCGTGTTTTCTGAATGTATGTGAGATTAAAGATTCTCACACTCGAGAAATACCTGCAACAAGACCGAACAACTCATAATATTTAATTAAAATAAATATCTTGACAGAAACTTTCTCGACGTGTTGTAAAGAATTTCTACAGAAATTTACGTATGTAAAACAATTTATGTAGGAATTCTATTATGCAGATCTTTCAAAAAAGTATGTAATTTGTAATATTAGAGAAATTCTACCTCGCGCAGTTTAGACCACCACAGACTTAAGCCCACTACACGGCAAGAGTTTCAACTGCATTTAAACACCTTTATAAAATTCAACATTCTACACTTGTCAGCAAATGTAGATAGACGAACAGTCAAATTAGATTCATTAAAATAGTGTTTATATTCATTATGACGTCATACTTAATCGTAAACCGGCCTGGGAAACCAATATGGATTAAATAGTGACGCAAGATTAAATACCAAAAGGTACCAACGTTTAGGACCCACGCTATTGGCATTTTTCAGAGCTGTGGATACCTTAAAAAATGCTTAAATAAATTTATTCACTGAAACATTGGGTTGAAAAGATATTGGCGCAAGCAATTTTAATGGCAGCAATCGCGATTTAGTAAGTGATAGCCTATAAATAATGCTGGCAATATAACACGACCATAACACTGACACGTTCTCATTGTAAACTTATTGTCACCATCCTGAATTATAAAGGGATGAAGGAATAAGTTTTCAGGTAGATCGACTTGAGACAAGAGTTGATAGGAAAATATATCAAAGCACTTTAGAGTTGAGGCGTACGTATGCCGTATATGCGATAATATCAAAAAATTGCTGGCAAGCAGGTCGAAACATTAGAAATACGGTATGAAGAAAATGCATCGAAAATGCTAAATGACTATCGCGGATAACTTTTTTTTATTTTAACTTATTTTTTACCAATGAGAATATGTACCGACCTTTCATTTACTAAACTTTATCTGAGATATGACAAACGGGCCAACGCGCTAACAAATACTGAAAAAAATTTGAAAATCACATAGCCAGTATTGATTAAGTTACTGTTAGGTTATTGACAGAAATAGACCGTTTCTAAACTACTTGCATTCGAAATGATTCATTTTTTCAATACTTGAGATCATTTGGCGTTTTTTAAAAACATATAAATGCATAAAATCGCGTTCGAAGCACCCCGTTCGTGTTAAAAAATTGATGAAACAAAATTTGCAATAGAATAAGAATCGAACATTTTTCTTCAATATCAAGAAACGAGTATAAATATAGTATTATTAAAGCGTATTAGTGTTTTACTATGTTTCTTGATATAAACTTTTATGTGCGTCGGTAGGTCAACTGAACAGATAAAAGTACTGAAAGCTGAAAGTGAATTTTTGCAATCGCTGAAGACTTGAGCACACCGCACGGCACGAGTTTCAACTGCGTTTTGCAGGTTCAGGAATTGCCTCATTGCTGCTCACAGTCGTCGGTTGCGGTCACATTTAGTCGTAGAAGCGCTTGTCGTAAAACATTTCTCCGAACCCGGACATGCAAATGAGACATAGCAGATGACACGCAATATGAGCAGAGTTCAAAATCGTACTTCACAAGAGATTGTTTCAAATGTTCTCGAAGTCTCTAGTAAAGTCTGTCTGGTTTTTATTTAACCTCCACAGAGCAAAGTATTACTCAGGGCAAACTTAGTTCCTGATTCAAAAACAAAGAAACCCAACGTGGAGTAACTTTTATGTGAAACGTTTGGATCATTTTTACAAATCCTGCGCCAAAAAACGAACCCGCCACCGCTCTGACTAAAAAAAGCAATTATCCAGTTAGGGTTTGGCTTGGGGTTAGGAATGCTGATTACTCCGGAAATTAAAACTTTTAAATCATTTATAACCCTAACTTTACGAATGATTTGCTAATTTGTTCTTTTAAAACTTAGCGGGGTGTTTGTCTCAAATCTCGCATTTTCCCATTATTGTCAGGGTCTTGGTATAAAAGAATCGAATAATTATGTGCTAAATAATGATTTTCATTGCACTAGTTCGTTAAGTGTAATTGTTTGAACTTGTTATTTAGACACAGTTATGTTGAACGACAGCTCTCCTATAAGGACTCAGTTCAGTTCTGGATATAATGACGCATTACGTTACGCAATGGACGAAAATCGTCTGACGCAGTGTCCCATAACAGTATTTCGACAGTTTTCGATTAATCACTGTAATTAGCAAATTGATAGCAATCAGCTCGGATGCATTGTCACTGTCTAGCTTAATGTTCATTGTTAGTGTCTTCGGAGACGTTTCTGATGTTTAGTATTGGTTTTAGTATTACTAATTTTGCAGTTAGAAATACCAATTTGGATTGAAGTCAGATTCGGGGTTAAATGCGAAGTGCCCGATTGTAATTAATATATAGTTTTTGACTGCAGGTTGGGGCTGTATTATAGGTATATCAGGTAAATACCAGCGGCTTTTAGATTTTAGTAATGCAAGATACATTGAGTTCACTTTGGATAAAACTTTATTGGATAGTGTCACCTGGGGATCTAAAACATGGGGTATGTATCTAATCAGTCTCAAAAAAAGTAATCTATAAATAATTTTATGCATTTAGTTATGTGCTGATATTTGTAAATTTTAATTGCCACTGTACACTACTGTAAGATTTGTTTAGATATCCGCATGTTATATTCGGTTTGTTCATTGTTTTCTGTAGGTTTCGTTCGAGATGTCGACGTTCCTGATTTTGTTTCAAGTACCATCGTATGAAGTGTTATGAAAGAATAAAACCGATTTTAAGTTGGATTCAATTGCGGCAAAACTTTGAGGCAAAGAAAGCGAGAAGGGCACTTTATCGCTGTGAGTCGAGTTGCTTGAAAACTGAACATAGTTGGCAATAAATCGATTTGGCTGGGACAGGGAAATTTGGAATTGGACATTTGGAAAAATACCAGTATCTGAAAGCTACAGACATGAGTATTTTTAGTCAATAATTTGATTTTGAACAAAACATAACGTTAATATATGATTACTTTTTAATGTGAATAAGATGATTCTTTAAACAGGGATATTGTCGAAAATATCGTACGTCTCAAAAACTTACGCATGTCATTATTCTTCTCCAAATCTTTTTTGTTGGAATCTTTTCTTCCATCAGTGAATTGAAACACCGTTATACAAATCTACATTCTACGTTGGTCAGCATACATAGATAGACAAGCAGGGAATCGCCTGTATCGGTTTTTATCTGCAATCAAATTATAAGTCATTAAAACAGTGTTTATATTCATTATGACGTCATATTTGACCGGCCTGGTAAACAAGGAATGATACAGTAATGATGAAAATTTAAATACCAAAAAAGTGCCAACGTATAGCACCTACGCTTCTAACATTTTTACAGCTGAGCATGACTTGAAACATGCCTAAATAAATTCAGTCACTGAACCATTGAGTTGAAAGGAAATTGGCACGAGGAACGTCAATAACAGCAATCGCGATTTAGTGAGTGATAGCCTATAATTAATGCTGATAATTTAAAACGACCATAACACTGAGACGTTTCTATTGGAAATTTGCTCAAAGTCACGAAAACTCAAAGTGAAGATACCGACGACTACTAATATACCAAGAGATACTGACACTATGCATAGAGAGTAATAATGATAATGCGAGTTAGTAAATGTCAACTGACGCGAGGCTTGAATCAGTTCGTGTTAATTTGATTAAAAAATAACTATGAGGTATTGAATTCCAAATAGCTGAATCTCGCGGAAGAAAATCTCGAAGCATAGAATATTTTGTCTGGTATTTCACTGACTGTAAACGGGTGAGAACTCACAGTAAACCGAATATGACGGCTAAAATTGTTAGACTTCCCAATGCATAACGCGAACTTATGGTTGTGACCATTTCTGTTTACTCATTGTCACCATCCAGAATTAACACTAAAGGTAAGAAGAATAAGCTTTAGGTAGATCGACTTGAGACAAGAGTTAAAAGAAAATAAAACTTTAGAGTTAAGGTGTATGTCGTATATGCGATAATATCTAAAAAATTCTGGCAAGCAGGTTGAAATATTAGAAATACCGTATGAAGAAAATACAGCGTAAATGCTAAATGACTATCGTGGATAACTTTTTCATTTCAACCTATTTGTGACCAATGAGATTATGTACCGGCCCTTCATTTACTAAATTATATCTGAGATATTACTAAACATTTACTAAGTAACTGAAGAACGGACCAACGCGCCAACAATACTGAAAAAAATCTGAAAATCACATATCCAGTATTCATTAAGTTACCGTTTGGTCATTGACAGAAATAGACCGAATCTAACTTCCTTGCATTTGAAATGATTCTTTTTTTTTTCATTACTTAAGATTATTTGGCATTTGTTAAATACATGTAAATATACAAAATCCTTGTAGTAGAACATATAAAGTCGCAATAAACTAGAAGAAAACATTTCCTTTTGAATAGTCTAGCTAGGAGACTTGGTTGTTCTCTTTTACAGAGCCGTGTTCGTGTTCGGGAAACTTCTATATAACTATGTACCACAGAGTCGGGTACAATTCACAACCAACTGAAAATCCCAGATATGATTAGTTACAAATTTATTGGAAATAAAATTTGCAATGGGCTACATTTTTCAAGATATTAAGAAACGAGCAAAATTAAAGCGTATACGTCTTTAACTCTTTTTCCAAATATAAACTTTTATATGCATCGGAAGTGCAACTGAACAGCTAAAAGTACTGAAAGCTAAAAGTGATTTTAACAGTTTACAAATTCAATTAATATTAATAATACCAAAACTTTTCCTTGATAACGAAGAAGTTAGAAGGTGCCCGATTGTAATTAAAATATAATTTTTGACTGCAGGTTAGCGCTGTATTATAGTTATACAAGATAAATAACAGCTGCTTTTATATTTTAGTCATGCAAGATACATTGAGTTCACATTGGATTAAACTTTATTGGATAGTGTCACCTGTGAATCTAAACATGGTGTAAGTATCTAATCAGTCTCAAATAAAGAAATCTATAAATAATTTTATGCATTTAGTTATCTGCTGATATTTGTAAATTTTAATTGCCACTGTACACTACTGTAAGATTTGTTTAGATATCCGCATGTTATATTCAGTTTGTTCATTGTTTTATGTAGGTTAAGTTCGAGATGTCGATGTTCCTGATTTTGTTTCAAGTACCATCGTATTTTTAAAAACAGATTTAAAGTTGGATCCAATTGCAGCAAATTTTTGAGGCGCAGAAAGCGAGATTGGCACTTTATCGCTGTGAGTCGAGTTGCTTGAAAGCTGAATATGGTTGAAAATAAATCGATTTGGCTGGGACAGGGCATGGGGCACGTTGACAATGGTCTCCATTCACGTAAGCCAGGAAAGTAGAAGATTAACTCATTCTTAAATGTTATCAAAACAAGAAGAACCGTGTTCGCTCTCGAGGTAATCAAGTGTGGATGAATGAGTGAGTGAGCTCAACTCGGAGTATAATATAATTTCATAAAATGACGATAAGATTACTGACTATACCGAAAATAAAATCAAAAATAATTCTTCTATTGTGACTATATTTCGTGACTACTTCAACTTGGAAAGTAATGAATTTGAAAAAATACCAGTATCTGAAAGCTACAGACATGAGTAATTTTAGTCAATAATTTGATTTTGAACAAAACAACGTAAATATATGATTGCTTTTTAATGTGAATAAGAAGATTTTTTAAACAGGGTTATTGTCGAAAATATCGTACGTCTCAAAAACTTACGTATCTCATTATTCTTCTCCAAATCTTTGTAATCAGAATCTCCTCTTCCATCAATGATTTGAAACACCGTTATACTACGTTGGTCAGCATGCATAGATAGACGAGCAGGGAATCGCCTGTATCGGTTTTTATCTGATATCAAATTATAAGTCATTAAAACAGTGTTTATATTCATTATGACGTTATATTGGACCGGTCTGGTAAACAAGGAATGATACAGTAATGATGAAAATTTAAAAACGAAAAAGTACCAACGGGTTGAAAGAAAATGCACAAAGAATGTCAATAACAGTAATCGCTATTTAGTAAGTGATGGCCTATAATCAATGCTGATAATATAAAACGAACATAACACTGAGACGTTTCTATTGGAAATTTGTGGTAATTTGATTAGGAAATAACTATGAGGTATTGAATTCCGATAGCTGAATCTCGTGGAAAAAAATCTCGAAGCATAGTATTTTTTGTCTGGTATTTCGCCGACTGTATACGGATGAGAATTCACAGTAAACCGAACTAGACGGCAAAATTGTTAGACTTCCCAATGCATAACGCGAATTCATGGTTGTGAGAATTTCTGTTTACTTATTGTCACCATCCAGAATTAACACTGAAGATAAGAAGAATAAGCTTTCAGGTAGATCGACTTGAGACAAGAGTTGTAGGAAAATAGAAAAAAACACTCTAGAGTTAATTAAGGTGTATGTCGTATATGCGATAATATCTAAAAATTTCTGGCAAGCAGGTTGAAACATTAGAAATACCGTATGAAGAAAATACAGCAAAATGCTAAATGACTATCGTGGATAACTTTTTCATTTCAACCTGTTTGTCACCAATGATATTATCTACCGGCCTTTCATTTACTGAATTATATCTGAGATATTACTAAACATTTACTGAGTAACTGAAGAACGGACCAACGCGCAAAAATCACATCTGAAAATCACATAGCCAGTATTCATTAAGTTACCGTTAGGTCATTGACAGAAATAGACCGAATCTAACTTCCTTGCATTTGAAATGATTCATTTTTATCTTTCAATACTTGAGTCATTTGGCATTCGTTAAATATATATACATATACAAAATCCTTGTAGTAGAACATATAAAGTCGCAATAAACTAGAAGCAAACATTCCCTTTTGAATAGTCTAGCTAGGAGAATTGGTTGTTTTCTTTACAGAACCGTGTTCGTGTTCGAGATACCACTATATATAACATTGCAGAGTCGGGAACAATTCACGACCAACTAAAAATCCCAGATATGATCAGTTAAAACGTTATTGGAAATAAAATTTTCAATGAACTACATTTTTCAAGATATTGAGAAACGAGCAAAATTAAGGCGTATACGTCTTTAACTTTTTTTTCCAAATATAAACTTTTATATGCGTCGAAAGTGCAACTGAACAGTTAAAAGTACTAAAAGCTAAAAGTGATTTTTTATAGTAATTTACAAATTCAATTAATATTAATAATACCAAAACTTGTCCTAGATGACAAAGAACAAAATTGCAATGAACTATAAACCAAACAAGCCTATTCCATTTTTGCTTGCGACATAATTGCTTTCTGTACAGTAAATCGTTAGAGTTGTTACTACTATACAATATTATTAAGTTTGGAGCCATTAACGACTCAAATAGTATTTTATGTTTGCAATAGTTTAGACCGCTTCATAACTTCAGATATGATGAGATGCACTATCAACGGAAGAAAGTTTATCAATGAACTACAAATCGAACGTTTTTCAATTTTTATGCGTCTAAAATAAACATATATAACTAAAATTGGCATTCGATATGCATACATGCAAGCCATGCCAGTCATGGACATGTATTCCGTGATTCTAGAAATTAAATATTTCTGTTGTTGCTAGGAACGAATTAAAAGTTTACTTCATTAGTGTTTCAATAGTTACAAACCCGCCTGAAATAAATACCAAACTCACATTTCACCGGAATTATCCTATTGGCCATAGTCCATAGTATATTATACTTTGGGTTACTCCGCAGGTAATCCAGAGTGGATAAATGAGTGAGTGAGCTCAAGTTGGGGTGAAATAATTTTATTAAATGACGATAAGGTTACCGACACTACGAAAATTAAAATCAAATCAATTTCTCGTGTTGTGACGAAATTTCGGGACCACTTCAAACTTCCGAAATACAGCATTTTGAAAAATATCAGATTCTACAAGCTATAGAGTGATTTTATTCAATAATTTGATTTTGAGCAAAACATTGATGACACGTTGATATGTGAATCAGAGGGTTCCTTAACAGCGTTTTATCCGAAAAAAAATATATTACACCTCAAAAACTCACGCCTCTCATTAATCCTCTCTAAATCTTTGTAGTCAGAATCTCCTCTTCTATCAGCGAATTGAAACACCTTTATACGATTCTACACTCCACATTGGTCAGCAAACGGCAAGTATTCGGCGGTATCGTTTTTTTTTTCAACAATCAAATTATAACTCCATAAATAATGTTTCTATTCATTTTGACGTTATACTGCCCCGATGGCTAGCCTGGTGAATAAAGAAGGAGAAAATGATTACAAAAGTTTAAATATCAAAAAAGTACAGAAGTTTAGGACCTTTGGAATGTCAATGACAGCAAACGCGATTTAGTAACTGATATAACTGATTCTAACAATATAACACGACCATACAACTGACTCGATTTTATAGGAAAATTTGCTCAAAGCAAAGTCACCCGAAATTACTTAAAAGATCTTTGATCTCAATTTTGTTTACTTCATTAGCGTTTCAATAGTTACAAATTGCCTCAATCCAACAGCAAACTCACATTTCACTGAAATAATAATATTATCTTTTGCTCTTCTGTGAATTTGGTTTGTCTTCTCCTCTTTTCGAAAAGAAATTGTGTATATTTCTCAAATGCTCCACAGTTTATCCTGTTTGATTTGGTTTTGTGATCTAAATAGTTTAATGAAAGTCGGTCTTTTGCGCATATCGCTGATTCCCTGGAATAAAAATAAAGCATTTACTGCATTGTGTTAACTAATTATTGCGTCATGAGCAACCTATTTCTAAAACTTCTATGTGGACAAAGGAAACATAAAAGGCTTAAGCTGAAGCTCACTCGTATTTCCTGAATGTATGTAAGATTAAAGATTCTCACGCTCGAGATATACCTGCAACAAGACCGAATAACTCATAATATTTAATTAAGATAAATATCTTGACTGAAACTTTCTCGAGGTGTTGTAAAGAATTTCTACAGAATTTACATATGTAAAACAATTTATGTAGGAATTCTATTATACAGATCTTTCAAAAAAGATTGTAATATTAGAGAAATTCTACCTCGCGCAGTTTCGACAACCTCAGACTTCAGCCCACTACACGGCAAGAGTTTCAACTGCATTTAAATACCTTTATACAATTCTACATTCTACACTTGTCAGCAAATTTAGATAGACGAACAGTCAAATTAGATTCATTAAAATAGTGTTTATAATCAATATGACTTCATACTAAATTGTAAACCGGCCTGGGAAACAAAGAAGGATGAAATAAAGATGCAATATTAAATACCAAAAGGTACCAACGTTTAGGATCCACGCTATTGGCATTTTCCACAGCGGAGGATAACTTACAACATGCATAAATAATTTTAGTCACTGAAACATTGGGTTGAAAAGAAATTGGCACAAACAATATTAATGACAGCAATCGCGATTTATTAAGTGATAGCCTATAATTAATGCTGGCAATATAACACGTCCATAACACTGACACGTTTTTATTGGAAATTTGCTCTAACTATGTGTAAACGCTGCGCATACCGCCTACCGGTATGGTATTTGCCGGTCTGACAACCTGTACGGTACCCCAACCGTTCAAATGGAGTAAGATTTGTGCCTTTTTCGAAGCCACATATTGATAAGGTGGATAAAGGAATGCAACAGGCCTCACAGTCGATTCAATCTAGGAAAAATCACCTGAAATACCTATGTGTGTATCGAGGTAGGCCAACATAAATATTGTTTTCGATACCTATGACTGTATGATATATTCAATATGATAATTCTCATATGAAATAAATTTTCATACAAGCAATGCGTTCCATCATGCATTTTCATGGAGGCGATGAACCAACTGATGAATACCCTGACCCTATATCACATTCTTGTCGCCCAACAAAAAGCACCATCAAATTGTGAGGTAAGGATTACTTATGCCATAATTTAACTTTGAATCCGAATTTAACAGGATCTGTCACCGGATACTTCATTTGATACAGAGACATGCGAAGTGAGAAAGGATTATCAGGGATCCAACCAGATCTGCCCCCAGACTCTTTAGTTGAAACTACCTCAAGTGCTTCTGATAAAAATGACAGCGCTTTGTCAGACAGCAGAAAAATGTAAGCAAGCATCATCATCATTTTATTATGGTTCTCTGGCATAAAACAACACAAAAAGTCAACCTACAAACAAAATGCAGAGAAAACTGGAAGTCGAGCACAACTTAAAATAGATTTCAAAATGTACGCGGCTACCTACTAGAAAAAGAAATAATAATAATAAAAGGGCACGAGAAATTAACAAGATTTAGAATCGGGCAACCCTTTTAACGTAATTCAATATGAGAAAACACATACTTCTTCCAGCATTGATGTCACATTTGCTAACTGTGAAAATGATGAATAAAGAAGGAAAATTAATATTGAAGACTTCATGCAGAATATTTTACAATCCATTGGTGATAAAATGATGTTACTTTATGGAGGAAGCTTCGCATGCATGCATGCATGTGTTGGGTATTTAATTCATACAGTGTAAACATATTTTTTTTCTGGAGAAGGGTTATAGTTATTCAGTTACATTTAAATGTACTGCCACATCTTCTTATGCCCTTTCTGCAGAGTGCACATTTATTTTTATCTTGTTTGTAAGATCACTTTATATGGTGCTTTTTAGGTAGCGTGACATGCACATTTCTATTTTTTAAATCGCCATGCCAACGTGACAGTGTCAGATTATCTATCTCCATTCATTGCGCGAGAATTTTTTCTTGATATTTTTTCTTTGAGCACTGTTATAGTTTCTACATTTAAATGTAACTGAATAACTATAACCGTGTACAAAAAAGAAAATATGTTTACAATGTATGAATTAAATACCCAACACAATGTGTTGTGCGATTTTCAATTTTTTTTATAAATAATCGTATTTGCTACTCCGATTTTATGGATCTGCTGCCCACTGACGGCTTGTTGGGAAGCTTATTTAAAAACTCCTTTGTACAAACAGTTGGGCATACTCCACCATTACCCATGTTGCCTAATCCACCCTCCTCGCACAACTGTCTGTATGAAGGACCATATTATACTTATTTGATTTATTGCATTTTATGCTTATCATAAGGGGTGTATGCCGCACGTTCATGTGTTTTAGGCCAGTCTGGTCTTGTGTATACATACATACATACATACATGTCCGGTGTGACCATGGTGATTGCAATATCATTTTTTGTGCGGACTGCAAAGTCACACCAAGCTGCTCCTGCAACCAGAAGTTATCCCTGCACTTGGTAGTAACTGTGGTGTGTGATAAATATCCTTATTTTGTTAGGATTTTTTGCATTTATCACTGTCATATAAATTACAACTTGTTCATAATCACCTGATAACTTTAGAACCGAACCAAGTGGTGGGTGTTTGCCCATCTGACTATATAACAATGAGGTAGTGCTCAGTGAGAGCAATTCGTCCATATTATCAGGAGATGAAACCAGGCAGCTTTAACAAAATAACTCAGCAGTAAAATCATTGTAAGACATTATGTCTGTGAATGGAATTGTTAATGAATTTAATTCTATTATTTCGACGTTTCATTGCTTTCATGGTTCTTGTTTGTTGTGCCTAAAAGCATATATCTGGTGTGTATTTTTAGAGTGGAAGTGGTGACTCCTCTTCGGCCCATGGGCCGGGGCCACGGCTCATCAAATTGGGCCTCGGCCCATCAGGCTATGAGCCGCGGCCCATCAAGTTGTGTAAAGAAACTATTCACTTGGCTAAGACAAACAGTCCCCAAACTCATAATAGAACTATAATGTAAAAAATCTAAACAAAATTTTGCCCTAACCCTAACCTGGTACACATACTACAGGAGTTTATTTTTTGGTTCGAATCGTGACAATTTTGTAAAAATTGAAAATTTTGGTGAGATAATTGAATTTTTCCTGACCCAATTAGATGGGCCGTGGCCCCGGCCCATGGGTCGTAGAGGAGTCACCACCCCTGTAGTATTTTTATCCTATGCAACACAATATCTGGAAAACTGTATAATTTGTAGTAATTTTCTTGGATTTACTTGCTTGTTCCTTCATCATATATTTTTTATAATCTGTTATATTCTATTTCTACACTGAATGAATAAACTATATTGTAAAACCTATCAGATACCCGACTGTTTTTGGTTGAACCGGTATGATTGGAACTCTGGCTCGATCTAACTTTGTGGGCTTAGCACCAACTACAGACGACAAAACTGTTGGATCTATTTTGTTCTCTCCATATAGCTTGTTACCAATGCTGGGAAAGGTTTGTACATGCTTGGCTCGGCCGAAAATCTTTTATTCCCCTCAATGTTGGATAGTCTTGGTTAGTCCAATGATACAACAACAAGCCTTAGTAGTTCTGATGAATATGTAACAATTTTTAAACCATGTTTATCACTATAACATCATTGGTCTTGTAATTTTATGTGATATGTAATCGATCATAATACCTCAACAAACCTGTTGAATCTAATCTTTCAATAGTATATTTGCACCCATCTTACTGAGCTAATAAATCTGTAAGTGCCCTCACCGTGCCTAGCATGTACAAATTTCATCAGAGACTTGGTGACTATCCAGCGACACCACTATTTGAAGATGATGTGGTGGCAGAGACTCCTGAACTTATCTATAGCACTTGGCTTTGAAATCTAGCGTTGAACCAAGATTGACGACTGAACCATCATGGATGTATCTGAAAAAATACGGGAAAAGATACGGGACGATTCAGATTCAGATTCAGATATTTATTTCCGTCATGCAAGAAATATTGTACATATAAACAGTAAAAATAAATCGAGAGAAGAAATAACAGACGTACAATAATTCGACTGCAATAGACGAGGAGTCGCGAATAAACTATAAAGTTAACGTGTCAGCGACACCTAAATAGCTGTAAACAGCAGCAGATGAAGTTAAATAAACAGGATTTAAACATATATATTTTTTGGATGAACACAATTTGGAAAATGTAAGTCGAATTGGGGAAGTCAGTTAGGAGAAAATAGTTAAATCGAAGATAATCATGAGAAACGAGAGAAAAACAAGAGCGCGTCAGGAGGGGAAAAAATGCTCAAATCGTCAGCGTCGTGCTCGGGTCGGCACCGTCACAGCTGTCGGGCTTCTGATTGACATGACGCTGCCTTGCGGAGATAAATTACGGGGAATTCCCAGCAAACCACAATAAGGGAATTAGTTTTGGAGGTATAAATACATAATGAAGTTTGGGCAACAGAATCACAATACGAGAGGTTAAGTACACGGCGAAGAGATTTGGGGTAACGTAGCTTGTGGAAGAATAGTGAAAATATTCAATAACACTGGAAATGAATGATATGAACAAATAAGAAAAACATCACATTCAGCAAAATTGTCATCAAATACAGGATTGATGACCAGTGAATTAGACTACTGGATGTTATAAGCATTGAGGTAGTGATTTTTTAATTCTTTTTTAAATGTATTATAGTTCTTAGAGCGTATGGTAACTGGAAGCATATTCCAAAGTTTTATACCAATGAACTTAATGGAATTTTGTGTGCGGCTAGATGAATAGCGAGTCATATAATATGAGCTATTGGCAGAAGACCGAGTTGCATGAGAGTGAATGACGCTTTGCTTAACAAAATAGCCGGAGAATGCAGCCGGCAGTTTTTATTATGATGTTGGTGCATAATTTTCAGCACTTCAGTTTTATAAATATCTGCATTTTTAAGTATTTTCATCTTATAATAGTAGGATTCTAAATTGCACCGAGGTCCGGCGTGTGTAAGAGCACGGATTGCCCTGTTTTGCATGACTTCAATACGATGCAGTAACATTTTGCTTGCTGAACCCCAGGCCGCAATGCCATATTGGATATGGGACTGGAACAGAGCATAATAAACCATACGTAAAGTTGACACTGAGGTGTATGATCGAAGTTTATACAACATTCCTACCGCCTTAGATAATTTAACGGTAATGTTGGATATGTGAATATCCCAGTTCAATTTATTGTCAATATCGATACCAAGATATTTATACGATTCCACATTTTCCAGAATAGTCCCCCAATTTGGATTTTTAAACCATCAATGCGTTTTGGTTTTTTAGGAGTTATCAACATAGTTTTTGATTTATCCACATTTAATGTTAGTTTGTTAAGTTCCATCCAATGAGCAACCTTTTGTATTTCAGTATTCACTCTGGATTGAAGCACAACATGAGACTTATCACTATCGAGAAGGTTCGTATCGTCAGCGAATAATTTGGAAAATAGAGTGGAGCTATGTGCAAGATCATTAATATAAATTAAGAACAGAGCCGGACCCAAGGACGAACCCTGGGGAACCCCATGGGTCACAGGTAAGACAGAGGAGCAATATGTACCTATTTGAACATATTGAGTTCTACTTGTCAAATAACTAGTAAGGAGTTGATTTGCTACCCCCTAATACCGTAATGCCACAACTTATACATTAAAATTTTGTGGTTGACAGTATCAAAAGCTTTTTTAAGGTCGAGAAATGTTGCACTGACATATTCTTTCCTCTCTAATTTATCATATATATGAGAAATAGTATCTAAGATGGCATGTGACGTGGAGTGATTGCTTTGAAAACCGAACTGTGATTTATTTATAACATCGTGCTTTGTAAAGAAGTCCATTAGCCTCCTGTAAATTAGACGTTCAAAAACCTTATCAACAGCAGATAATATGGATATAGGTCTGTAATTTGAAATTTGTTTTGTATTACCAGATTTGAAGATTGGAATTACTCTGGCAATTTTCAGTGAAGATGGAAATATCCCCAATCGAAGTGAATTATTAAAAAACTCAGTTATACAAGGTGCTATGATGTCTGCCACATACTTAAGGAAACGACTGGGAATGTTGTCAGCGCCAACCGCTTTACCCTCATTGAGGCATACTATTTCCATGGTCAGTTCGTTCACTGTTGCAGGACTTAAGAATATGGATTGATTTACACGCTTGCTTAGAAATATTTTAAAGCCATCCATATCATTGGAGAATTTAGTACCAAGGTTGGACCCAACAGTGGAAAAATATTTATTGAATTCTTGTGCAATCAAGGACTTATCTTTAATGGTTCTGCCATTTTCCAAATCAATTTCATTAACACTTTTGGTTTTTTTATTTTTAGTAGATGCTATTTGATTAACAATTCGCCAAGTACACTTGGGGTTGCCTTTGTTTTGGGCAATCAATTTTTGAAAATACATTTGTTTAGCATCTTCAATGGCATGTGTTAGTGAATTGCGATATTTTTTATAGTATGAGGATTGAGAACTATTGCCGCATAAGTGGTGAGATTTGAACATCTTATGTCTTAAACAGATGCTGTCACGTAATTTTTTATTTATCCACGGTTTTTGCTTTATCTTTATTCGTCGACGTGACAGTGGTCTCAATGGGGCATGGCGGTTGATTAGGCAAGCAATAGAATGCATAAATTCTGCAAATAGTCTATCAAAATTATGACAATTCAAGTTTAACGCGACAAAGCGTTCATCAACTATGTGTAGCATATCTGACCGAAATTCATCGATAGAGAATGAAGACATATCCCTTGATAATATGACATCATTTATAGTGGATGGTTTAATGCCTTTAAGACAGCACATTATGGGAAATGATCAGTGATATCAGATGATATCACATATGAATTAACTTGCACATCTGTCATGTTTGAATACATGTGGTCTATAAGAGTGGAAGAGCTACGTGTAACTCTAGTAGGCTTTGAAATGAGAGAAATAGCATTATAGGAAGTAAGCATATCAGAATAAGATGCAATTTGGGTGTTGGTATTTGATGCGAGTAAATTGATATTAAGATCTCCCACTATTATAAAATGTTTTTAGATAATTTTGACATGCAGTTTTCAACAATGCTTGTAAATTCAGGAATATCACTTCTCGGATGTTTATAAATAATGCCAATGCTCATATTATTGAATACATTTGTTAGGCTAATTTCGAACCATAAGTCTTCAGAATTTGGATAATTGAGTTGATAGTCACTAACTTCACAATAAGTAATGTCGTTTCTGATGAAGGCACCCACACCCCCTGCTTTTGAAGCAGAAGGGGTATGAATGAATCTGTATCCATCAATGCTTATATTGGAGGAGTGACTATTACCGGTATGTAATTTAGTTTCACTAATTGCTATTATATGAGGGGGAATAGTGAATTTTGACAACAGTTCAATTAATGGGTCAATATTTTTTTGAATTGATCGAATGTTGATGTGAATAATTGTTAAATCAATATCAACTGGAATATCATTCAAATTTGAAACTTCTATGTTGTCACATAGACAATTAGAAATATTAGCCATTTATCTTAGGGAGAATATGAAAAATGGATATATATACACTTGATAATATTAAAAGTTAATAAATAGACATGAATATCATATAATAACCTACTTTATTAAAAGCAGATCATCTTCAGTGATTATGGGGATGGTAGCAGTATCCAGGTTCTTTTTGATAAGAACTCTTCCATTATTTGTCCATAAAAATTTATATCCACAAGCACGCTTTAAATCCCTGGCTTTAAAAAATAGGTCTTTATTGGTATCCGAAAGATTTTCGATGACAAATACTTTGGTTGACCTGGAGATTTTTGGAAAAACTGTTGAAATGTCAAGTGATTTGATTTTGCTTCGATTCTTTATTATTCGGTCTCTCGTTTTTCTATTGATAAATTTGGCAATTATTGGTGATGGTTTTTTTTATTATTTTTTGATAATCTATGGCAGTTTGAGATGTCGAATGATTGTATGGGGACATCAATTTTTTTACACAAGTCGGTAATCAGATTTTCACAGTTTTCACCGGTTGAGAATGGTATGTTGTGGAATTCCAGGTTATCAAGTCTGGAGCGACGTTCATGGTCTTGCTGTCGCTCTGTTAAAATGTCAATTTCCTCCTCTAGTTCTTGTACTAGATTTTCTAGGTCAGCCACTCTTTTTTTTGTTTTGATTGCTAATTTTTTGAGCTCACTTTGGCTGGAACAGAGCTCATCAAACTTTTTTGACATGAAGTGCTGGCTCTCTTTTATTTCATGAATCTCATTTTTGATTTGACCGAAGGATGTTACTTCTGTTTTGATCTCGTTTATAGAGTCTTTCAAAGATGTTAAAGATTCTTCTAAGCATGCACTGTTGGTGATGGCATGTGTCGAGTCAAAAGTAGATCTTTCTAGATGTTTCTCAATATGTTGTTCAATGATGGCAGGTATCTCGATGCGTAAAGTCTTAAGGACTGTACTTTCGAGAACAGACACCAAATTTGTAACGTCGTCTAACTCAATAGTGTTGGTCATTGTTGCAGCAGTACGCATAGGTTGATTGCTTGGACTCTTTCTTCTGGGTGGTGGAGAAGGAGCGCTGGATTTGCTAGGTGTATCCATCTTCCTCTACAGCTGCAATTGGAGTTGACTGTCACAAATTCACAATTGATCCAAACATCGGTTCAGCATTACCAATATTATATTTTATTTATTTATCTATCATCTTAATCAAAACAGCAATAAAGACGGACGAACACGAAACAACGTAGCAGCCAAACAATCCGACAAATGCGTTAACAATGCGAGAGATACGTAAAAGTATTGATGTTGATTATTCGTTGTATAATTAAGTTTATGGACTAGCGACAATTGAAAAGGAGTATTTGCTGTCCAAGTTTAATTCTGGCGAGTGGCGACTTCTTCCATCTACAAGTCTTGAAATTGATTGTTGCAGTAAGACATTGCACATTATGGACAACATCATTCGGTTATAATTGTATGGAACTAGTAGAAGTTTTTGGAATCTGGAGGTTGGAAAATAACAGAACTGCAGAAAGCTGGAAAGTGAATACCATACCGGTACGGTACCATACCTTGCAGCATCGTCCAAAACAATGAAGAATGGCATAAAATAAATCAACACTTCAGAATATCCAATATCAAAGTTAAAGAGGGTTCACTTTATGCAGCTCTTTGCTGGCATGGGGTTACAATTTTAAAGACAATCACAAATTCTTCAATTGCACGCGTGCCACAAAAGTCATCTTATTTCAAAGGCTCAAGTATTCATGTTGGATTTCTTGATTTCAAACAAGTGATGTCCTACCTAGCACTGAACAATGTTTTACAATTAGGCAATGCATACATATTGCTCACTAATATTTCGAATTAATATAACTCATTTTTTTATTAATATGAGCTATATCCTTACTCCTGTACTCAGTAGATATTATTTGGTGGTATTTTTTTTTTCTTTTGACTGCCAATAATTTATATATTTTTAATCCCATTTTCAACCACTTTACTTGGATTATGTGGCACTTAGGACACAAGCATATTTTAAATTCTTTTAAACTCGCACATAACCATCCCTGCATGGGATTCGAACCTGCGAACCCATCGAAGGGCCACGAGTTGGACGACCCTGGTCTACAACACCAATTGAATCTAATATTTTTCTCCTAAAACCTCAGCATAACAACAAACAAGACTTAAATTATAGAACCCTCATCCTACTTAGAGTGGAAACAGATGAAATGAACACACTTCAGCTGAAAACCTATCCCTGGCAAGTTCCGGGCCACAGGCTTCTACATATTTAACATTTTATTATTTTGAAAATTTGTATTGCGAAAATAACCAATATTCATTTGTTCAAATGACTGCTAAAATGTACTAACATTCAAGAAATTGAAAAAATCAATTCGGAAGAGGTGCTAAATTTTATTCTGGCTCTACAGCTTTGAGACTCGCCAAGTGACGAAAAATCGACATAACTACGTTTGCTTCAAATGTTTTAGCATGCAAGAATTATTTGTTAGGCTTAAGTTAACCGGGTTCCACATATTTGTTGGACACGAAGGCGTAGAATAAAGCACTGCTGCAACCTTGACTTGACAACACTTTTACTATAATCCTATCCATAACAGTTGTTTGTCTTCATGACCTGAACAATATAAATAAAAATACAGGGTTAAAGATAGTATATTGATGAAGTGTGCTAGATATTAAAGAAGCAAATTCGACCTAGGCAATGACTAAAACTGAATAATTTGTATTCGAATATGTACAGATTTTTTTGTATTCTGAAATGCTATTTTTGAATTACATAAAATCCAATGTATATTTAATTATATGAATTTGGAAAAGTAAAACAGTAGAGTATTTATAGTTTTCAGATATTAAATGAAGGCTCTTTTGTCTTCGATTGTGATTGCATGTCGAAAAACTTTGCTCTACTCTAAAATCATGTGACACTAGTTTTGCCTGCATGTAACAAGAAATGACTAATGGGAATGATTTTGAAAAGTTTGTCACATCTCGGTTACTTGAACAGATCTGTGACAATACCAATGAGAAATTTACCTTGAGCATTTGATTGATAAAAGTATCCTCATATTATACGAATAATACAGATTATACACACAAACTAAAAATAATTTTCATTTAACAGCTGATACTAAAGAGGCTCATATTTTTACTGAAAATTGCGAACATAAATTTAGGACAGTTCACATACAAATAATATGGCATTTAAATAGTGACAAACTCACAAATTTGCTCCTCCAATAGAGCTGATAAAATTGATCATCATCATGGCACTCAGACAGTTTACTTGACTTGAAACAGCTGTAGAAATAAATGAAAATCAGAAAACAATGTTACATTAAAGAAATAGTTATGCAGGGTTGTCCAAAACGAATCGAATATTCGAATGTATTCGAATATCAAAGTATTCGAATACATTTTCGGCTGATTTTCGAATAATTCCGAATAGTAGCCACTTTTCGCCGTAAACGTGGTGTTTCGTTTTACGGGAATCTTCAAACGGATTTTTACGCTGTCTCGCGTATTGTAATGACGATGAATCGGCACTTTGATTGTTTATATTCTGTGCGACCGTACGTCGCATAGTGTTGCGACACATTTGCACGTTTGCGTGGGTGGACATTGCCGACATTAGTCTACGAGGCTTCTAATTTACAAATTCATTTCCATTACGTCGAAAAATTGACAATTACTGTATTTCCCCGGCTAATAAGTCGCTTTTCTAGGTCACCGAGATAAAGTGATTTGTGACCCTTTCGTTTCGCCGATTCAGCAGAACACGACAGGAAAACACAGCTGTGAAATAACCCGTGGACGTACAGTGTATTACTTATCACATTCCAAAATTATTTCAACATTCTGGTTAATAGGTTGTCCAAAATGATTGCCGCTTTACAACTTAAATTTACCGCTCAATTGTTTAAAATAGTTAATTCTGTGAGTATGATTCTACCAAACTAACATTATCTGGTTCTAAACAATTAAAATTATTAGCGCATATCAGCATAACTGAACAACAGGGACACAATTTTTCTACCCGTCTTATTGGAGGCCTATGGAAAAAACCCTTTTTGGAGTGCTAAAAATAGACATCGTCCTATTTGCCATGTAGACTTATTTTTCGCGAGTACGGCCATGAGAATCAAAAACTAATTATATTCGGCACAATATCACGGCAATCTGTGTACATAAATTGTGTGGCAAACTACCCGATTATAAATAGTTTTTGATTCCTATTTTCATATTTATAAAATAATAAAAGTATTATTACTCAAACATACAAGGGCGATCTTAGGACTTAAAATGTGTGGTAAAGTTCCGGAATATAATTAATTTTTGATTCGTATTTTTGTACTCACGAAAAAATTGTCACAAGTCGGAAAAATAACTCATACTTTATCCCGCTTTTTGGCAAATAATTTGGATAATGGTTGGTATTTAAATATATGGGCGTTTTTCTAGGATGATTTTGTGTTGCGCAAATATTCAAATCCATCATCGATACCACTATTGCTGTATTAATTTAATTCTGTTAACATGACTCATGGTATATAAAATATATATATACTGCAAATATGGAATGCCTGGTAATATAGCTAGGTTGTAACTTTTAGATAGCAGTTATTCCATTGCTTATTGTATGGAAATTCCTACATACATTTAGATAAGCTTCAATTAATGGATTTTATTTTCGAAGTATTCGAAATTTCATATTCGAAAAAAATAATTTCGAATGTATTCGAAATAGTGAACTATTCGGTTTTGGCCATCCCTGTAGTTATGATAGCATGAACCATTGCATTCATGATAAGTTATTGGCAATATATAGTTATCAATATACTCATTCTTGCATTCTAGCATTTGGTGAAATTCATGGGCATGGTACCACAATATTCTAGTTTCATTTTATATAGCAAGAGTCAGAATCATTAATACCATAAATATCGTACATCTGTGCATACAGCATACCTATAACATGCAATATGATTTTACATTGGTGTATATCAAAATATCCAGCCAACCTTCTGCTATCTATTCGCTCCTTGTCTATTTTTTTGATCCAACTTCGGGACCTTGCAGACTTGTGAATTAGCCGATCGTAGGTAAATCTCAGTTCTGCTCATACACAAAATATAACTAAAAGGAAACTTTTGGGCACAGGTAGATTCAAATATCTGAAAATATATTATTTTTGTTAAAACATTTTGAAGTTTATATTACTGTATTAGGACTAGGAGTATCTGTTCGACGGTACTACTGCGCAACTGCTTATTCATACATACATACCAACAAAACTATACTAAAATACTGGGCCCTATGTCTGTTTATGACAAGAACCCTTATAGCAATAGACTACTGGTACAACTGTAGTCTACATTTAAGTCGAGATTTACGTCACAGAAAGTTAAACCACCTTTTTGATCCGGACTTAAACCGCCGATCCAAAGTTAAACTCCGATTCGAGGTTAAACTACATACCGGTAGGCTTTTCGCCGCTTTTGGAACTAAGTCAGGTACGGTAACGGCAATGTGAAGGCGGAATAACGTTAATAATAGATCACTTGACAATATGGTATAACTTTAGAAGCACGAAAATACCGCCATCACTAGTGAAATGCCATCTGAAGGCCTTCAAAACGAGCAACGCACCGTACCAGTCTATCGCCCTACACAAGTCTGAATATTTGCAATGTTTGTCTGAGCGACCAAAAACAATAAAGGTCAAAGGTCGGGGAAAGGTCCATAGAGGATAACTTTCATTTATTCCAACCTATTTCTTACCAATGAGATTATGTACGGACCTTCATTTACTAATTTTTATCTGAGATATGACTTAAAATTAATGGCTGAAAAACGGGACAAAGACCCAACAAATACTGAAAAAAATCTGAAAATCACATAGCCAGTATTTATTAAGTTACTGTTAGGTTATTGACAGAAATAGACCGTTTCTAAACTCTTTGTATTGAAATGATTCATTTTTTTAATACTTAATACGCGTTCGCAGAACCCCGATCGTGTTAAAAATTTGATGAAAAAAATTTGCAATGGAATAAGAATCGAACATTAATATATCATTTCTTTTTAATGTGAATAAGAAGATTCTTTAAACAGGGTTATTGTCGAAAATATCGTATGTCTCAAAAACTTACGTATGTCCTTATTCTTCTTCAAATCTTTGTAGTCAGAATCTCCTCTTCCATCAATGAATTTAAACACCGTTATACAAATCTACATTCTACGTTGGTCAGCATACATACATAGACGAGCAGGGAATCGCCTGTATCGGTTTTTATCTGCAATCAAATTATAAGTCATTAAAACAGTGTTTATATTCATTATGACGTCATATTGGACCGGCCTGGTAAACAAGGAATATACAG